TTGAAAAAGAATCCTTTGAACTATTTATGGGAACATGTTTTAAATATTACATTTTAATTATAGGCTTATTTTAGTCAAATACTACTCGATCTTAAATTTTGCATATTGCATCAAATGAATGAAAATGAAATGTATTGTTATTCTCGGATGAAATGAAGAGCTTTTATATAAATCCAGTAGCAATACATTCAGACTGATATATTATTCAGACATCATATTTTGTTGATACTTACTTTAGTTATAACATGTTTCTCATAATTTCTTTATTCTTTTACTATACGCGTGAATAAGAGTCAATTTCCCTCAGAAAGTTTTCCACGAAAGCATCCTCCTCTTAAGCAGATAGTCTTCGTGGCTTTATCCTATTTGAATAACCTAAGCTAAACTTTCTTTTAACTATACTTTCTGCATACGATTACCAAAGGTAGGCGTTAGCTTTCCGTAATTCGTACTTAAAAGAACTTCAGAGATTTGTTCCTTGAGAGTTATATCCTACCGATTCCTTCCTGCGATTTATTTTCGAATGGTTTTAGAATAGAAAATGTTACCGGGGTCTGCAATTCATCTGAGTGAGATTTTTCTTTGCAATTCTAAATGCAGTTTTCTATGTTCATCGCTATTTTATTCTTTATATTTGCAAGCTATAAACTTCCTACAACAGTTTATGAATATTGTAAGCTGTATTAAAGATATGTGCTATTCACGGAATAAATAAGTATGATGTGTTATATAGTATAAATCATGTTTAATATAATAACACAGAGTTGAACGTTAGCTCAGTTTTGAAGCATTAGGAAATTCGGAACATAATCCTATAAAGCTATGTTTGATACCATATTGACAATCACTTTCCGCTCAGGAATACTCTTAGAAGTGTCTACTTTGACATAGCGCCGGTAGTGCATGGTTTATATATGACACACAACCATGCAACCTATTAGTAGTCTTTTCCTGAGGGCATGCATTTCGAAATGCGTTATGCAGCTCTTTGCAGTTTTCATATAATATATGAGGAACATTTTCCTGATTAATTTAAAGGCTTCTGTGCGACGTATCTATGGTATAAAACTTAGTAAAGGGTAAAAAAGATCTTAGATTGTCATGGTTTTTTATCAAAAATCTGTCGATTCCTAGGGAAATGAATGTAGGTTCTACTTTTTCCAAGAATAAAAGAATTAACACATATTTTTTTTCTTCTTACAGAAAATTCGGCGAAGGTTATGCTCAGCATTAACTTTTATCACACTGTTAAAAGGTTTACTGCAGCGGCTTGATTATATTTCATGCAGTCTCAAAATAATAAAACTTTGATTTTAAAGCTACATGAAAAGTTAAGGAAGGATTAGCATCCATAAGCATGGTTCTCTTAAAAGATCGCCCACCAGCGGCCGAGCGGTAAAGTTGCTGAAACACTGGTAGTTCGGTCCGAGGTTCGAATCCCGCGAACGGGCTGGCTGCATGGGCGTTTTCGTGGTTTTCCCCATGTGTAACGTGTATACGAGCCAGTTTCTCTGAGAAAGTCCTCCCCCGAAGGCATCCCTCTCCTTAGGCAGATAGCCCTCGTGTGCTTTGCCATAATTAAAATAAACCACCACCTTAAAAAATCCTTTCGCTGTGTCATTTAATGTTTGTAATGGCTCCTTGATCCGTAATGTGAGTTAAAAGTGCAATGTTTTTGAATAACTAGCAACTAAAAATGTTTCTGATATCATATACTCTTACGACTCAGAGAAATGAACCTCTAATTTGTAAGAAACGATCCGCCCAAACGCTAAAGTGGTTAATGCCTCTGACTGCCGTACCAAACGGCCTGGGTTCTAATCCCGAAGAAGGCATAGATGTAAATTGTATGTCTTTTGATAGAAGGTAACGGTGTCCAACTTATTAAGTACCTCTGTAATAAAAGTGACCATCAGTTCCGTTCTAGTCTTGGTCAACGCCTATATTCTTTCATATAACAACGTTCTAGTCTTGGTCAACGCCTATATTCTTTCCAATATCAACGTTCTAGACGCCTATATTCTTTCCAAAGGCGAAAAAAAAATTAAGAAATAGTGACTAATTTCTATTTATATACTCAACGTATATCTGCATTTTTAAGCAAAAACAGAAGACAAGGTTATTTGCGAACCAGTCTATTATATTTCTATTTTAGTCTTACGATTCTATATTCTTGAATAATGCATAGGATACACGCACAATTATTTTAATGCTTTGATATAGAAATAAATCACTAACGCGTGTTAAGCAAATTCAACTTTCTCCTTATTTTGCTCAAATAATATTTACTTTAGTTCGAAGTTAGAATTTTTATGGACAAATCATTCGAAATTAAACCAGCAATTGAACTGCAATCCGTTTGTGAAGTCACAAAATTTTCGATTGTTCTGTTTCGTCTGGTTTATTACTGGCTGCCCTTCTCTAACTATAAACGTATAATTCTAAAATAGAGAGAAGATATCGACACACCTTTCGCGACAATTATTCTCAAATTCCACCTTCTTTTCCTATAACATCCCGCCAAGATTCTAGTACAAAATACATAAAGCTTCCATAGCAGTAAACATAGCTCCAATCTTTTAAGAGTTGTTACTCATTTATCACTACCCAGAGGGCATAGGTAGCTTAAAGTGTGCTACGGACCCGAGTAACATTACCCCTCGCACATAATGTCGTATAACATAACACATTTTTGCACATGATGTCGCAGAATCCAAAATTATTGGATCTTGCAGAAGAACTCTCTTTCTTCTAGACTCAAAAGGAATACTGTAGAGACATAAGGTATTTTTGGAGGCAGGCAAGATGGAAAATGAGCAACGCCTTCGCCTGGAATCGAACCACGGACCGCTGGAATACGCGCCCAGTATGCAGACCACTACACCACGAAGGCACGCTAAGGAGGCGGAAGAAATACATTATGTACTCCTCCTTTTAAAGGGTTTTCAGGGGATCCAATCGCCGAATCCTGGGTGCGAAGAATCATCATCTACCCTCTTTTTAGTTAAGGCGCCACTGTAGAGACATCAGTTATTTTTGGAGGCAGGCAAGATGAAATATGAGCAACGCTTTCGGCGAGAATCCGCGCCCAGCATACAGACGACTACACCACGAAGACATGCTAAGAAGGCGGTAGAATTACCTTATAACTGTTGTCTTACAACGGATCCCAGCTCATGTTGAATAACTGGCAATGAATGTGCTTATACGAATGGATGGGCTTATAGCTGTAACGGGAACTGAAATTTTGCAATCAAATAATAGTGGAATACAGTTTACACCGATAAAAAGAATAGTAAAAATGCTATGAGGAAAAATGTGAAGTAATTAACACTAATAAATGGAGGAATTTGATTTGTAATACACCAGATTCTCCCAGATCCATCCTAGTTGCAACGCTTCGTTTGGGGACCGGACGTGATCATCTTACCAGACATTTGCGCAGCATTAGTATATATGATAGCCCCTTACGCAATTATTTCAACCAGAATTAGAAGATAGACAGAGTTTATTTGCTAAAATGTTCCTTGTTGAAGGAAGAAAGCCTACATAATCGATATTGGCGGGCTACGAGAGTTGATGCAGTTGACATCAAGGGACAATATTTTTTTTTTACATTTTCTAGTTTCAATGTATGCATTGTGACTGCAATGAGGTTAATTACTATTTTATCGTTTTATAATTCTAGTTTGGTATTGTTTATGCTCTCCAGTCTCATGAGGACCAACGATGTATAACCAAGTAGAAAAAAAATATTTTATTAACGGGGACTCGTACACCTTAAAACCCATAAGATGTTCGAATCGGTGACTTTTGCAAGAGTTGGGATAACTTATTTATTTTAGAAGCAATTACTACCAACTTTTTATAGCTGACTACATAAGCTTTCTGAAATAGTAATCAGAATGTTTGTGTTGCCACAAATATTTTTTATAATTTAATCCGCTTCGTGACAACAGTTTTCGTCATGTTTCCAACTTGCGCGCACAGTTTAAAACATTCTGTTTCATAATTTAATTCCATATTTAATATATAGCTTTTATGACATTTGGAAACTACTGTAAACCTAAAATTCTAAAAATTGTAAGTTAAATTTTTATTTTATTTTGAGTTGTGTGTATAAAATGTATTTTATTAAAGAAAATTTTAATGTTTTCGTCCATAAAATTTTTAAATATTAAAATATTCATCAGATTGTTGGTTCAGTTAGAAAATAGTGCCCGTATAAAGAATTCCATCCAATTTCAAGTATGTCCATTAGCCAATTTTAAAATATCATGCGCGCAAGGTGGAAACATGGCGAAATATTTTGTCACAAAGAGGATTAAATTACAAAAATATTTGTGGCAACACAAACTTTCTGGTTACTAGTTTCCAAAGCAGCTATATTATGTAGTCAGTTGTAAAAAGTTGGAAGTAATTGCTTTTTTAAAATAGATTAAAAATATCCCAATTCTTGCAACAGTCACATATTCGAAGATCATGAGGGGTTTAAGGTGTATGAGTCCCCTTAAGAATATGGATTTCTCACCTGCAGAAGACATATAATAATTAAAATTTAGCGAATTTTTCCATTTAGTGTATTGTTCCAAAAAGCTAATTTTAAATTTATTAGCTCTTCTTTTAATTATTTATTTGCTTTTAAAATCCATGTTGTGTTTATATATAAATAATTAAGTATAATATAACAATCTATGTTTATCTTTATATTATTTTAAAGAACAAGAGTTCTAACTATTGATTTACTTGCTTTAAAATATGACTTGTAAATCAGTCATTGAATAATTTATTTTTTAAATATTCACAGGTAAATCAGTTTCTGTATGCTAACAATCTATGTTTTCATAATTGTAAATGGTTCTTTTCCGTTGTTCTGTGCCATTAAGAAAGCCAAATTAGTGACCAAATCTCAAGTGAAATGATATGTATCAGACAAATGTGATATTTTTATGTCTGGAAAAGCTTAAAATGCTAAATATTGAATTTTCTTCTCTTTACAGCTGAATAACATTCTTGGATTCTGAACAATACATTCATCTGACACAATGTTTGACGAGGACTACATTGCGATTGAAGCCGAAATTGTGGAACCCAGCGATTCTGAGTTCGACCTGGTTACGCCCACCCCAGTGCAGCTTCTAAACAGCACAGTACGTTTCTGCACAACAAATTACACCACAAATGTGACAATTTGCAATAATACTGTTAACACTGCTAGGATAGATTATAGTGCCATGGAACGCGTCATTGGTATAGTTGTGCCAATTTTGTTTGGAATCATTGTGGTGGTAGGCCTCATCGGTAACACTCTGGTGGTGATCGTCGTAGCATGCAATCCACAAATGAGATCCACCACTAATGTCCTTATCATAAATTTAGCCGTAGCTGATCTTTTGTTCATCATGTTCTGCGTACCTTTCACAGCCTTTGATTATGCTCTTCCTTACTGGCCTTTCGGGGATGCCTGGTGCAGAGTCGTCCAGTATCTGGTCATAGTTTGTGCTTACGCTAGTATTTATACATTAGTCCTTATGTCTCTTGATCGTTTCCTGGCTGTTGTTCATCCCATCACATCCATGTCCATTCGCACTGTCCGAAATGCGTTTATAGCGATCGGAGTCATGTGGGCAGTGATTGTCCTCACTTGCATACCAGCACTTCAGTCACATGGCCAAGTATCGTACACTTTTGATGGTACCGAATATTCTGTTTGCATATTTCTATCCAATGAAGGATATAACTACGCTGCTTACCAGATTTGTTTCTTCTTGTCATCTTATATCATACCTCTCGGGCTAATATTCGTGCTGTACATGCTGATGCTGAAGCGATTATGGTTTGGTGTTGCTCCAGGTGGTAGAGTTAGCGCAGAAAGTTTGAGATCTAAAAAGAGAGTAACCCGAATGGTTGTGATTGTAGTCGTCATATTTGCAGTCTGCTGGTGTCCTATCCAAATCGTTTTGGTGCTAAAGAGTATCGACTCATACGGTCTCACTCCTTTGAGAATTGTTGGTCAAATCACTTCACATATATTGGCATACATGAATTCATGTGTCAACCCTATATTGTACGCTTTCCTTTCAGACAATTTTCGAAAGGCTTTTCACAAGGTAATTGCTTGTAATCAGAAGCGGTCCTCAATGCCTAATAAAAATACTATAGAGAAACAGACAGAGCGGGAGACCACTCTTAATAATGGCACAGCCACCAAGCAAACCGCCAACAACTCTAATAATGATATACTATAAATGCATGGCTGTTATGACTACAGACGTCGTACGTCTGCAGACTTACGGAAGAATTCTCACTTTCATGTGGTTTGCAAATTGAATCAGTGTGTGATGTAAATCCCAGTTCTTGTGTTATGTGGTGTGCTTTACACGTTCACTTCGGCATGTCATGATACTGTGAGATATCAAGTAAGAAACTCCGTACAACTCCCCACCAGTATTCAAGCAAATTCCATACCAGCTAAAACTTCACTCAACGGATAAGTAGAAATACCATTTTTAAAACTTGTAAGACAATAACTGAAATCTATGTCAGTTTCTGTCGTTATTGAACATGGGCACTTAGCAGTTTAATGTGCTAAACCAATATGACTATCTTACATTCTTAAATACTATGATAACTTTCTTACTACTGCTTTGTATTACTCAAGAAAATTATTTTGCACCTAGAAATGAGACGAGATATAACGGACAAATGCCTTACTTTGCATTATGCAAAGCAAGGATTAATAGAATAAACTTCACATGGTACAAACTACGTCTTACAAGTTGCTTCCAAAATCGGCAGTAAGCATGAAGTACTCATGCTAGGTACTTAATTTCATTGTTGAAACCAGCATCTTGCAATTTGATGAGCTGCATTTTACGAAGTTGCATAGCTTTAGAAAATCGTTTTCGAAAAGTGTCAACGGAATGAGCCGCCAAAAAATTCAGTTGCAATGCATGAAAACATGTTCTATCTCGACTTTGCGTAGAGGACATTTGAAATGATAGGACTGTGAAATGAAAATGGCTCAACAGAGTTTAAGCCTCGATGCTCACTTTCTAAATACACTAGAATAGCTGAGGTAACTTCACGAAGAGAGAGTTGAACGGGCATCCATGCATATTCATTCTCTCTTTAAAGATTTCTCTTTGACTTGTTAACTAGAATTTTATTACTCATTCAATGTGAACAAAAATTAATTAAATAACTTTGATGTAATACCTAAATTTAATGTATTCTGTGTAAAAAGAGCACTGTTTGATAATATATATTTTTTATCACTAATTCTTTATAATTTGAATATAATGTCTACCATTTTTATCTTGACTGTTTATGAATTTCTTTTTGTGACATTAGAGCAAGAACATGTGTACTTTATTAAGTCTCTGCTTTATGCTGATAGGTGATTAAACATCACCTATCAGCATTCTTATAAGTCTCCTTAACATTAGTATTTAACGATACGTTGACATTAACCATCTGCTCTAAGGCATTGCTTCAATTTTACTTATTTTTGTCTCTGTATGATGTACGATGTGACGAATTTCGAATTAATGTACGATGTGACGAATACGAATTTCATGTATTAGAACAAAGTGGCACAAATAAAATGGAACTCTGAATCACTCTCTTGTTAAAGCAGATATCACAAACTAATTGTTATTTTTAAGTAACATAAATATTTCTTATTGGTCATATAGCAAAATATGAATTTTAGAACTTTATATCAATGTTACTTCACTGCAGTTTAGGAGACAAAAAAAGGCATAAGGTTTTTATTTTGAAGGTTAAAATAGGTAAACTAAAGGACAAAAAAACTATGTGGAAAAGCTTTACTTCTGTTTAATAACAATTATTTAAAACGCACGTTTCCAACTTTAAGTTATGCCTTAAAAGTATTTTAGGAACAGAATGCTGAAAAAGGTATTTCACAAACAACACGATTACTACTGTGTTAAAAAGTTTCTGTTCCAAATGTTTTACAACAAGCGAGCATTTTCTTTAGCTAATGATGTACAGTGTCTCAAAAAAGTGATGGGACACTTGTGCTTTACAAAAGGAAACTGCAATAAAATAAATTTAAAAAACATGTAAAATTTTTTGGGTGTGTTTTTCATACTTAAAATTTAGTAACAATTATTACAGAACATACATTTTCTCAAAATATTAAAATATTAATTTAATAAAAATACAATCGTTTAGAACGGAGCAGAAAATGGCTCACTTAAGTGATGGGACACTTACTTTTCCATCAAATATTTATCCAAAAATTTTACTTTTTTAAAAGGTTTTAATATTTTGTTGGATTTCCTTTTACTTTTTAAAACATGATTTAATCTTCTTGGAATGGAATTCGACTAATTTTTTTTTGTGATTTCTGGAGTGATTTTACCCCATTCTTCTTGAAGCAACCGATTTTAATTGTTGTTTTGAAGAAGAAATGGTGTGCTCGCAAATTTCTTGATTCCAATTCTTGCCGAATATTCTCTATGGGATTTAATTGTGGAGATTGTGGGGGGGTGTTTTTTATTATTTTTCAGGACAGTTATACAGCACAGCCAGAGTCTAACGTTCAAAGCACTGTGCTTGGGGTCATTGCCCTGGTATAATTTAAAATCGTTATGAAGGTTAAATTTTCGTGCTGAAGATTTCAAATTTTTATTTGAAATGTCAATATACTTGTACTGTTCCATTATACTGTCAATTAAAACAAGATTACAAACTCCAGTGGACGACATACACCCCCATACCATAACTCCTCCTCCACCATGTTGGCACCAAGTTCTGTTAGCGAAATTCTCCCCTGGGTTTTCTCCACACCAAGATTCTACCGTCAGAACCAAATATATTAAATTTACTCTCATCAGCAAATATAACTTCATTCCAATAATCAGAATTCTTATTTATGTTGGATTTTGCGAAAGCCAGTCTGAGTTTTCTATTCTTTTCACTTACGAAGAATTTTTTCCTGGCTGCTCTACCGTGATATCCAGCAGACCGAATTACTCTTCTAATAGTCTCAGCAATAAACAATTACTCCATATAATGCTTGTAAATCAGCAGCAACTTTAGGAGCACTCATTCTTGGATTTTTTTTTTTAAATATTTCGAACGATAATTCGCTTTATTCCATTGGATAGCTTTGATGGTCGGCCAGGTCTTTTTTTTATCTTGAATCATATGATTCTTTTTATATCGTTAATGATATTGAAAACTGTTGAATGACCTGAAGTTAACTGTTTCAGTAGTTTCTCTAATAGATTTTCCACGTTCAATATGCAAATTAATAACTAATTTTCGAATTTCCAGGCAAAGTTTCTTTTTCGTTTAGCATTCATTGGCTGCACAGAGCTAAAAAACACAAAAACTTCCAAAACAAACTGGAGAGAAAATACTGCAGACGATTTATTAAATTATTGCCAATTGCTTTTTGAGTAAAAATAAATACCCCAAAAGATATTTTTATTGCTTACTTCAGACGATTTTTGTTGCATAGTAGGTAGTGTCCCATCACTTATGTGAGCCATGTTTTGCTCCGTTCTAAACAATTGTATTTTTTATTAAATTAATATTTTAATATTTTGAGAAAAAATGTATGTTATGTAATAATTGTTACTAAATTTAAGTATGAAACACACCCACAAAAAAATTTACATGTTTTTTTAATTTATTTTATTGCAGTTTCCTTTTGTAAAGCACAAGTGTCCCATCACTTTTTTGAGACACTGTATGAATTAATTATTGCTATACTTTTTATATCTAATATATTCTTTTAGGTCATTACGCAAAGAGAAACTAAGAGAACTTCTTCAAAATAGCCAGTCTAATTAATAGACTTTTAAAATTTTTATGTTCTGTGCTAGCATAAGCTGTCAGTATTTATAAAATTTAAGAAAGCTACTTAAATTCGAATATTTTTCATTTTTAATTTTAATACAAATTAAAAAAATATGAGTTTATAAGAAAATTTTTAAATGAATCTATTTTTTTAATAATTCATATCAAACTTTTCTACTTAATTAATACTTTCATTTTATCAAATTACTGATTTTTATCTCAAGCAGTATCAAAATAGTAAATTTCCTTTACACAATTCTTTCTGCTTCCAGTATTATTTATATATATTAGTTGCGTACTGATATAACTGTTCTTATGTTTGTATGAAAACTTTTCAGCAGACGATCAAACATTTAAATGAATCAAATGTAAGTCTATCATAGGAGTAGAGCTGTAAAAATAATGTCTCTTCTCTTATAATGATAGGATTCAGGTATGTGTTCATATATATATGTACGTACGTACGTATGTGTGTATACACACACACATATACGCACATACATACATGCACTTCTAAACCCGATCTCGATAACAAAAGAGTACCAACAATAATAAGGAAATTTTCTTCTGTATAGAAAACGTTATGAATTATGAAATATTACTATCTAACACTGCAAACTGAAAAACAAAATTCTTTCGTGCTTTCCATTGATTTTAAGATTTGAATGGATGTTAAATTATGTTTTTTAATTTAACAAAGTAGCATCAAAATACAGTTCTTTCCTTTTAGAATAAACGCTTACATAAAAAGCGTTGTAATTTCTTTGAAAGACAGACCGACTTGCAAATATAGTACCAGTTTTCAGACACATATATTTGAGATTATTTATTGTTGATGAAAATATCGCAAAAAGAACTGAAAGAATAAAATATGGTACCTGACAGAAAACTTCCACTCTTATTGCAACTTATTTTGAAAATATAATGGTATGAAGTGTTATAAACCAAAAAAAAATGATAAAAATGATATTTGTAGTTTATATTTTAAAAAGTGGTAAATGTACTAAATATAACTTCATTATTTAGTATTTTTTCATGCTTCAAACCTATATCTAGATCTATGATAAATCTAATTTTATTTGTGCAAATACACCCAATTAATTAATATCTAACGATTGTTATTTTTATGAACAAGAAAATATGATAACAGTGTAACACTTTTATATTTCATGTTTTCGATTAGCGAGCATTTACACTGCTCATACTGTTTCTATGTGTGTTAAATCAGTGTTCAGTGTATCTCTGTATATATGTTTGTAATATTTGTATATCTGGGTAATGAATTACTTTATGTTATGAAATTTTAGTTAAAAGTATTAAATAATTCTTGATAATTTGAGAGTTGTTGTTGTATTGTAGATGGAACGGTAAAAGTCACTCTAATAATAAAACATTTCCATTATATGTAAGAAAAAGTTCAAAATTTCAAACACATAGTTCAGTTTTTAATTTAATATTTCATATCAAAAGCAAAATTAATTAGTTCCATTTATCTGATTTATTCTTTCAAATATGTCATTAATTACGTAATCAATTCGTAACAACGTATTTAAATAAACGCAAATGAACAAAAACAAAAAGAATGCATTTAAATAAATTGTCTTTGCCAATTCACACGCTTCGACAGCAAATGTAAAGGTTCTTCGGGAATGATTGAACAAAAAGAATGCATTTAAATAAATTGTCTTTGCCAATTCACACGCTTCGACAGCAAATGTAAAGGTTCTTCGGGAATGATTGAACTTATCGGTTCTTTAGCCATCTCTTAGTTCTTTTCACCTAATTCAAACTCTCCCTGTCTTCTATGTCTAACCCAGGATGCACCACAAATTGTAGACCGATATTACATCCGCGAGAGGAGAGGAAAAACGGATATACGTATCACCGTTACCTTGGTTAAACCCATACCCGTTAAACCCTATACCTTACAGGGCCACATGATGCCATACGTTTCTTATCTAATTATTATTTCGAAATGATTTGAAGAATCAGAATGAACATGGTTCCTAGATATGTATCTTTTAATGTTTAAATTTTAGTGGATCAGCAAATAAATTTATAATGGGAATAATCTCTCATTTCATTTTTATTCATTTATATATTAGAGGATTACAAGAAAGATTTATTTATTAGAGGATTCATTTATTTATTATAAGATTACAAGAAAGTTTTAAATTTGGAATTTTCTTTAAAACTGTCACTGTTATGTATACTGAGATTTTGGGCTAAATTCGATTCAAAGCGAACGGGCTAGCCAAAGCGAACGGGCTAGCTGTTTTGTTTTCATGGCTTTCCCATGTATAACATGAATACAAGCCAATTTTTCTTAGGAAATCCTTCAGGGAGCCTCCCTGCTGTTACGCAGATAGCCGTTATGCATTTTTCTCTATTCAAATAACCTAACTCAAACTGTCCCTGTCTGCTACGTAATTTAAATATTTTCGACAAAAAAATTAATTTGAAAAAAGAAACGAAAATTTGAAAAACTTGATCTTGCATATTGAAATCTAAAATTTGTAAATTTTTTCTTTGGAAACTTTAAAAGAATATAAATAAATAATCTAAAATACATGTATTAGATATTAACATTGATAAAATAATACATAATTATTAAAAATAAAGAATACTTTACATTATATATATATATATATATATTTGCAACTGCTGTGAAATATATTTGTATAGTGCATGAATTTTCTTATTACACATTTAGGTGTATTTGATGTGGTGTATTTAATTATGGCAAAGCACACTAGGGCTATCTGCCTAAGGGGAGGGATGCCTT